AAATACTTAAAGAAAAAAAAAATCAAAGGGGGGTGATTATTTCTGACTTCAACTGTCATCATCATCATCATTTTCTGCCGCTTTTCTGGGGCCGGGTCGCGGGGGCAGCAATCTTAGGAGAGAACCCCAGACTTCCCTCTCCCCAGACACTTCCTCCAGCTCCTCCGGGGGGATCCCGAGGCAATCCCAGGCCAGCCGAGAGACATAGTCCCTCCAGCGTGTCCTGAGTCTTCCCCGAGGCCTCCTCCCGATGGGACATGCCTGGAACACCTCCCTAGGTAGGTGTCCTGGAGGCATCCAAAACAAATGCCCGAACCACCTCAGCGGACTTCTCTTGACTTCAACTGTACATGCTTCAATTCCAACACGAATCTTTGAAGGCAGTGAGTTTAATGCCGAGTTCAGACTGCATGATTTTCTAACTAGTCGTGTCACAGATGTTTTCACACTGCTTGACTATCTGGGCTGGCGTTTCGTCGCTGCTTTGTTTACACTGCAAGATGGTTCGGCGACATGGACATTCACATTGCATGACTTTACTATAGGAAGAATCGCCGACAACTTCGTCCAAACTACATCTCACAGCCAAAAACACGTCGTATATCTTTTGTTATTAACTACATAATGAGAAAGAAGCCTTTAATGGGGTAGAACATGTACATGTTTGCTCACCTGGGTTTAAAGGGAATTAGCCATTTCTCCTCAACGTTGATAATAAACTAATTTCTTTCTGTATGAAACGTCAAACAGACACGGTTGCTCCTGAGTCCTGTCAAACCTCCACTAGTTTTTCTCCATTTCGTGGGTCCAAATAAACCGAAAAAGAGCGCTTTAACTTCTCCCCCAGCCTCCCGCTGACCTGCAGCAGGTATACACACACACACACAAGTGAAAGCTGCTCTCTCATTGGCTGTAGGCGATCGCTGATGTTATTTTCAGTCAAAACTCAATTCACACAGCATGATTTGAATCGCCGACAGCTCCAGATATTCAGCATGCCAAATATCTCGCAGGCATCGGCGACTCATCGGCGATTCTCTCAGATCGCGTCTTTGATCGTTCACACTGTGTGATTGTCACTCACCTGCACGAGCAGCGATTTGCCTGTGATTTCAGGCATTTGTCGGCGATTTCTCAAAACCTGTCGGCGAGCCAAAATCAGGGCTAAAATCACGCAGTTTGAACTAGGCATAAGTCAGAATCTCCATCTCTGCAGCACTTACACACACCAAACTTTACTGCTTTATTCCTATCTACTCTGATCATACACACCAAAGTTGGGTTGATGGATGATGCCATCACCCTCACCAGTGGTGTAAAGTAACTAATTACAAATACTCAAATTACTGTAATGGAGTAGTTTTTCCTCAGGGATTTTAATTCACTAAGTAGTTTTATAAATGTGTACTTTAAATTTCCCTTGAGTACATGTTTACTGCAGTATCGGTACTTTAACTCCACTACTACCAGCGACTTGGTGATCCCAAGGTGTCCATATCCGGGACCAGGCCGTATCCTGAGCTGCTGCTGCGCTGATGGTCGTGGGGAGTGGAGAATATGAGACTGATTCCAGTGACGCTCCAGGGACAGACGAGTCTTCGCTGAGGCCATCTTCCAGCCTCCACTGCTGAGACTGCAGCTCTGCACAAGACTTTTGGCCAGCGGAGAAATTAAAATGGTCGTGCCCAACTGAGTCTGGTTCTCTCAAGGTTTTTTTCTTCACTCTCCTATTGGTGAAGTTTTTTCCCTCTCCACTGTCGCCACTGGCTTGCATGGTTCAGGATCTGAAAAGCTACGCATCGATGAATTTGCTCTTCAGTGTTTGAACTTTCAGTAATGATTAAATCACACTGAACTGAGCAAAACTGAACTGAACTTAAACACTAAAAACTGAACCACCCTGATCCAGTTACTATGACCATTTATGTGAAGCTGCTTTGACACAATCTACATTGTAAAAGTGCTATACAAATAAAGCTGAATACTTTTCTTCAACCTGCAGTCACTACATTATTTATTTTTGTCTTTGGGGATTTGAAAATTCAGTCCTGTGATTCCTGTTCAATCAAACTGCACATACAGTACAGCTGAAAGCAGAAGTTTTTATATACTGTATAAAAGGCACATCACCATTTAAAAAGAGTCAGATGTTACTGTGACTAAACTTTTCCTTATTTAGGTAAGTTAGGATGATCACATGTTTCTGTTCTGCTTAATATCAGAATAATGAGAGAGATTTGTGTTGAGAAATTGTTATAGTTTTTCTTGAAAGTCAAGTTTACACACAATAAGATTATTCTGCCTCTGGAAAAGCTCAGATGATGAGGTCAAGGTTTTGGAAGCTTCTGATTGGCTAATTGACAACATTTGAGTTAATTGGAGGCACAGCTGTAGAATAGTATTTAGGGAAAAGCTCAGACACACTGCTTCCTTGTGTGACAACATGGGAAAACCAACAAGCCAGAATCAACAACAAAGCCAGATTACCATTAGCTGAATGACACTGCAGACTAATGTGTGGAGACATCACCTG